AACAGAAGAGTGGAATGTGAACAATAAATAATGCTCAAAATTCAATAATGAGAAAATAAAATTCAAAAATGAGAAAATAACCAACTACAATATTATACACCAATTAGAATGTGAGAAAATGTGCAGGAACTGGAACTTCATACGCTGCTTTAAATAATGTGCAGTTCATTGTTCATCGATGAAATTTGTTAAGCATCAGTTGGCAATATGCCAGGCACTATGGTCAGAAAACACGCTCCCCTGGGTAAACTTTCCAAATCACGCACCCTGTGATGACTCAGACCTATGAATCTGCTGCCTTATCACCATCCACTTCACTATTTCTCGGTGCCCTGAACTTAGCTTGCCCAAGGCACAACTCTGGTACAGCCCAGCACAGGGAGCAGCAGCACCCTTGACCCAGCTGTCAAAATGATTCAATCATAATTTTTATCTCTTTTCCCTCATCTGCAGCATCCCATGTGTCATGAAGCTCTTCATTTCTTCTCAACCCCCCCAGCATCGCATTCATCCAAACCATCCATCACTCCTCTGCAATCTCCCAATCAGCCTTCTCAAACTTGGCTCTTAAGACTTCACACACACAAAGCAGCCAGAGATTTTTAAGTACAGGCATGACCTTCTCATAACCAAGACGAGTATCTTTCAGTACTTCCCATTCCTTCAGGAGGAGGCTCAAACTGTTTAAAATGAGTTACACATGCCACACTGTAGGTCTCCATCCCAACCCAGCTCCTCTGTGCAGTTCTCACCGCCACTTCCCTTCTCCCTCCGCTGGCACTGGTCAGGCTACGTCGGGATATTTGCAGCCATCTGACATGGCTTTTCAGCTCCTGTTCTGTATTCCACGGGTGGCCTCACAGCGATAATGAAGAGCAGTGGTGGCACAGGAGGAAAAAGCAGGCAAAAGAAATTTTTATCAAGTTCGTTTCAGTCAGATGTTCTTGTATAGGCAGAGTAGGAAAAAAGAAACACAAAGATGACTTTGGCAGAGCCATTTCTAAAGGAGAATGCATTTTTGTGTTTTCACTAAGCTGCGGGCTCCTCTAGATTTTCATATTATAGCAGGGTCATAACAAGAATTTCCTCTATTGTGGGCTTTACACAGATGCAAAGCGGCGCCCAGGAAGCTGCGAGATGGATGAATAGTGGGTCTGATGTATTTGAACCATTCACCACTTTGAGTTAAATGTGCATATTCTGTTCAAAATAGACAATGGGGAGGGGCGGTCCCCCTGTCCCTCTCTAACTTGCACAACATCAGGCCTCCCTGCTTTAACTAATGAGCATTTACAAGTAAAGGCTCCTACTGATTCCAGGGAGCCAGTCATTCTCTGCTTGCAGAGCTGCTGCAGAGTCTTTCTTTGGCCACATTTTTTAGCTGTTTCCAGTTGCTTCTGAGCAGCCGTGCTGACCCCTGGGTCCCTGCACGTGTCACAACACACCAGACACATAATGGGCCTGAAAGCCCTTTTGGAAGGAATTTTACTGGAGACCAGGGACAGAGGCAAACAGGGCTACTCTGCTGACAAAGGTGTGTCACAGCTGTTAGTTTGGGGGAACTTAACCCTGAGTGAAAATGTGTACTTAAAACAATATACTACCCGGGATAAGGTGGGTAGAGGAGAGCTGCAAAATTCTCTTAAGCGAATTTGCACAGTCAGAGACATCCTTTTGTAATTACAATGTTTGCTGCATTACTGGTCCTGGTTCATTATGGGCTCAAGAGACTTTCCATTTTCACGCACTGCATTCTCTTGAGAACTGAAAGCGCCCCGTCACAGAAGATGCTGCCAATCTGAAATAGCTCGTTTTTTGGAAAGGTCTTGACCTGCCTTCAACTTCAAGTAGTTCAGGCTTTGCCTAAGAAAACGTGAGAGCAGAGTGACATCACTGGACATCCGTTTCCACTGTCATTTGGAAGCTGTTTGAAAGGTCATTTATGGACCAATATGCAAAGTATTTGAGTTGTGGGCATCTATACTCATTTTAAATTTTTTTTAATTCATTTTAATGAGAACAAAAGATAAAATAGCAAAGAAACAGTTTCAAAACAGGTTAGTGGGCATCTATAACAAAAGAGAATGCACGTGTCATTGGGAACACGACCATTCATTATTCAATAGATTCTGCATTATTCAATATCATGAATATTTTGTATGAAGCCCTAGTCTCTCATGAAGGCTTCAAGCACTGAACTTACAACTAGAAAAATTCAGAAGGAGTGGAGAAAAGGGAAGGCAAAAGAAGAAACAAATGGATAAGGCTATGATGAAACTCAAAGAATGATAAATCCAAGTAGAAAAGGCAAGAGGAATGGTAATATTTCACACCCATTCAATCAAGGCAATACATGGAATAAAACAGGCAAAATGTGCAAACTATTGTAATGTTTACACCCATACTTTACAACAGTGACTCGGCAAAGCACTTAACGCGAACCTTGACAGCTTTTCATCAATTCTGTCTGAAAAGACATGATTTGATTTGGTCTTTTAAATGACTCTATCGATCATTCCCATGGCTTAAAAAAACACTAATAAATAATTAATTCAAAAGACGAAAGTTTTGCTCCTATTAACCTTCCGCTCAGCTGATATCCATGGCATGATTTGCTTTTCCATCAAAATGAGAGATTGTTAGGAGCTAAAAATAATGTGTACACGAAGGATGCGAAATTTCTTTCAAAATTATTACCCTGGAACGTGACAATAGCTAGGATTTCTTTTTTAGAGGGAAGAGAAGAAGCAGAAATCCCAGCCCTCCGCCGACCTCCCCTAAAGATTTGAGTCACAGGGTTTCCTTGTGCTAAAATCCAGATATCTGCTGCTTGAAAACCTAGTAGAATGCATCAGTGTCCCAGGACCACCTGGGACCGGGGGATGGGGGGGAATGGGAGACTTCCAGATGGACTGTAAGACAATTCATTGATATTTACATAACGGGAATAAATGTTTTTCCTAAGATAGCATTTCCCTTCAGTGTCTTTAGACCACCAGCGAAAGAGGGAGGTACAGAAATTCTATTACATTAATAGTCTTTGTTTTTATGGCTTTGGCATTTATTAACTAGTGGGAGCTGTTTATTGGGTCATAAACTTTACTAATGGGGATATTATCTCTAAATTATAAATCTCCCTTGGTGTATGGTTTAGTTATAAAAAGAATAATTCTTTAAAGTGATCATATGGCTGCAGTGTATCATGTTTATCGGCATGATTCCTATAACGGCCATTGCATTGCTACTTGTGGGCTTGAAGCAGGAAAGACCAGGCTAGTAACACACACAGAAAAGAGCAGTTGTTGCCACAGTTGTTCCTTTTCTCCTCCCGCTTCTCAAAAGAAATACATTACAAGATCGTTCCAGGGCTAAATTATCTATATACTTAAAGTCTTGAGGGAAAGGCAACTGAGTGAAGAGTTGACTAGGTAAGTGACAGATGTGTCAGCTTGAAAAGTTCCAGGAAACGTGTCATTCTTCTAAAAGCTTGCTTTCTGGAGAATGGAAAATGTTAAAGTGACAAAGCGGTTTGGCACTGTTAGTTGTCGGAAAGGAAAGGAAAGGAAAGGAAAGGAAAGGAAAGGAAAGGAAAGGAAAGGA